AACGTGGGAGACGCGCCGCCGCCGCCACCCGCAGGGCCGGGTTCCACCGCCGTGACGCGGGAGACGCACCGCCGCCGCCACCTGCGCAGCCAGGCACCGCCACCGCCACCCGCGGGCCTGGCGCCACCGCTGTCACTCAGCCGAACGCCGCCACTGACGACGCCTGCGCCCAACTTCTCGAGCACCTCACCCTACGGCAACAGGCACGGGCACACAAGAAAAAGGAACATGAATTGAGCACTGCCGGCAGTTAAGGAAAGCTATGATTTTTTATGGCAACGTGGAAACCAGTATAATTTTTTATGGCGATGATCAAATTGAGCACAGAGCTCTGACGCGACGCGCCCCACCAGAAAGGAACTCGCCGCCCGCACGGCAAAGGTCTTTATTTTTCTCCTCTCTGCCGAATGGGCCTGCTTGTCTGACGCCCGACGCCGGGCGAGCGGAAAGGAGTGAAAGCAAGGGGTCGAGCGCCCGGCCGAGCCGCTGCTCGGCTGCTGGCCCGGCCGTGGCACAGGTGCGCTGCGGCGCTGAGCAGCAGGCGGACCGGCACCAGCTGACCGCGCGGTCGCCACAAAAAGCGACGCGATGGAGCGGCTGCCGCCACTTTTAGGGCCTTTCCTCGAAGAGCATCGCATTGGGCTGTTGGGCACTGGGGCTCCCTTGATGCGCCGTGCTGGGCGACGGCGGCGCAGTAGTCGGGCGATTTTGCGGTCGGCTCGCCATGTTCCGGCCGGACAAGACGCAGACGCCGGTGGTGCGCATACCGGGGCCTACTTGGCTGTTTTGGTTAGACACTTCCCGCTGTATGAGAAAGGCAGGAGGGAATCTAGCCCGAGTGTGCAACTCGGCTGTATGCCTGTATCCCTGGGCTGTCCTCTTCTCTGCCCGGAAAACGCACACCAGGTGGCAGAATCAAGGTTTCCGGATCCATAACGTACGGCATCAAGGTCGCCGGCGCGTCCTTGTTCCGTGCTCTTGGTTCGATTTGAGTTACGAAAACTGCCACTTAGACCTTGATAGCACAAAGGGACTATGACCCTACTCGTATGATTTAGCGTCGAACCGACCACCTGTGTGAGAGGCAAAAACAGAGCACATGTTTTCGTCAAGTCCGCGTTAATTCCATTTACAAGCCACTCTCCTCATCAGTGGTTCGGTATGAACGACAAAAAAAAGTAACCACTACACCACTCACCTGCTGCTCGCTTTGATGACAATTATAAAATGAGACCACTAGATCGCGCATTTGCGTTCTCCCTGGCAAAAGACAAATAATAGATTCCATTTGCCAAAAGCAAATCTACCCACCATTCATGGGGAAAAAAATAAAGGCAAATCTGCTGGTAAAACGAAGCAAAAACCTCCTTCGCCTTTCCTGGAGCGCGACGCTGCCGCCGGGGCCGTATTCGCGAAAGCAGCACGCACAGGCACAGCACACAAACAACGCAAAAAGCACCAAACAACAATCGTTAGGTGGACAGGGAGACGCACACCACGCCGTTTGCTGTGTGGACGTCCTGTTCGTTTTGCTTTTAAGTCGTATTTGTTTAGCCAATGAATAATATTTTTCTTTTATAATAAATCGATCAACAGTACTTTCAGCCATGACTTATCAGTCAAACGAACAGGACGTAAGGAAACAAACTTTATATTCAGATGGCAGTTAAGGAAAGAAAACACGTACTCCCTCAGTACTTAAAAATAAAGTCGTTTTGGATAAAGTTTGGGTCAAACATTGGGAATATAAATCATGATTAATTTTAAAGTTGTTGAGTTTGAAAATATAAAAGCTATATAAATAGATTTGTCTTGAAAAATACTTTCATAAAAATATACATATATCACTTTTTGATAAAATATTTTTATAAAAACAAGAAGTTAAAGTAATACTTTGGAGACCGTATCGCTGTCTAAAACGACTAAACGACTTTATTTTTTTTAGCACGAAGGGAGTACTCTCTTTGATGACAATTATACATGCAGTGATGGCAGTTAAGGAATCAAATATAATAACTTGATGGCAGTTAAGGAAAACAGTGTTTTTTTTATGACAACGAGGAACCAGTATAATTTTTTATGGCAGTGAGCAAATTTTCTCTTTTTTTCCAGGAGTGCGCGCTGCTTCCAGCCGTCTTTGCTCGGCTCTGACCTCTGCACATGTTTGCCCGTTCGCTGGATGGTTTGTATGATTTATAAGTCGGTTGTTAAAAAAACACCGTATAACGGCTGATAAACGTGACTGATAGATGCTCGTCTCCCCTGCTCGGCTGCGCCTGCACGCCCTGGCGAAGTTCACGTGGCGTGCCCGCGTGGCCCGCCCGTGATACGAGTGACACGAAGGCCCTGTTTTGTTGCTAGGGACGTTACTAAAATTTAGGTCACATTAAATATTTAGACACATATATATAGAGTATTAAATATAAACTAATTATAAAATTAATTACATAACTTGTGATTAATTTACGAGATGAATCTTTTAAGCATAATCAGTCCATCACGTGACAACATGATGCTACAGTACACGTGTTAATGATAAATTAATTAGATTTAAAAAATCATCTCGTAAATTAACCTCTATCCCTGAAATTAGTTTTATAATTAATCTATATTTAATGTTTTTTATTAGTATTTAAATATTCAATGTGACCTACTCCCTCCGTCCCATTGAGTTTGTCGTTGGAAAACCGTGCCCCCCTCACAATCCCGCTTCCCGAGCGACAATCTTAACGGGACGGAGGGAGTAAATGTTAAGAACGACCGAAGAACAAACAACCGGCCATTGGGCCTCACTGGCGGCTGCTGCAGTGCTGCCGCTCCTGTCGACCGGTCAACGTAACAGTGATCCTGCCTCGGCCACCGTGACCGATACTGTAGTCGTGCTCAGTGATGTGACGCTCGAAGAGAGAAGGGCCCGTCGGTGGCTTTTGGACTTTTGGTTCTGGGGCCGTCAAGGCGTGAACCGTGAAATACCTGTGGCCTGTGGTGAGCCCCAGCGAGCCCGGGACTTTTGCTTCTGGGGACGTCAAGAAGTACTGTAGTCGTTACTGCTCTCCGGGAGCCCTTGATGCTGTATGGATGTCAGGAGCTGGGCCGCTTGATGGGCTTCCAAGCTGGGCCGGGACAGGAGCAGCCGAATGAAAGCCCTTAATTCTTAGTAGAAGCCTAATTAGATCCATCTTCTAATATATGTTGCTAATAAGTGGTTGACATCTTAGGACCTGCTACTACTATTAGCAGCTCTAAGTCTGCCAATGGAACTAATAGTTAGTAATTAATCTATTAGCATATGTGTTTGGATCCATCGGTAACAGCTGTGGAACAAACCGGTTCAACGATATTTTTTTCCAGCCGAGGGAACCTTCGTGCAGCAACCCGTGGCATTGCTGACTCAAACGCATGCAGGGCCGTCCCTGGGGGCATGCAGGATGAGCGATGGCGCAGGGCCTCCAAGTATATAGTACATTACCCAATTAGCTAAGCACAGCAGCGTTGCCCCAATAGCATCGCCCATTAGCAAGCCTATTAGGCTATTAGCCCAATAGAAAATGATTTTTCCGGCCGGCCGTACGGACGTCGTTTTGTCTCCCGATTGCTGCGATCCCAATTCCTAAACTTGTTCCTCTCGACGTCTCCTATCGCCCTAACGTCTTATCGGCCGGCGGCCGCGTATCGCGAGCGTGACGAGCTGACGGCAACGGCGAGGCACCTAGACCCAGGCGAGGTGCTAAGGCCCTGAAGGTAATACTAATCAAGTAATCATTCATATTTTTTTCTCAATTCATTCGTATTTTTTTTCTCAATTCAATCATCAGCGGAGCGAAGCTTTTCTAAATTGAAGCTATATTGAAGTCCTATCTGCGTCCTACAATGACACAAGAATGACTTAATGATTTGGCTATAATAGCACATGAGAGTGAAATGTTGGAGAAGATTGATTATGAGCATATCATTGAAGATTTCATTTTAAACAACACTAGAAGAATGATGCTATTCAAGTAACAATTACGCAACATAGGTATTATTCTTGACATATCTTATTGCGATGTAATATATTATATCCTACACCTTATTTTAGTCCTATTTTTTTTTCAAGCTAGTAGGCCTCATTTTTTTAGTTTCGTATAAGGCCTCGAATTTCCTCAGACGGTCCTGACGCATGCAGTGGCCCTCTTGTCCACGCCGGCCCATCACACATGACCAACTTTTTCTATTTTTTAATAAGTCTTTTTTTCGTCTCCTTGAACTACAGTTCAGATATCCTCCCCTCAGCCCAGGTAGATGGAGATTTGATCCGGGAAGGAAGATAGATGGAGATTTGATCTGGGAAGGAAGATTTTAGATCTAATATAAGGGAAAAAGAATCAAATGATGGTTTCCCTTAAATCACTCTTGCCTAGATAAACTGTATTTTTTTTACATATATGTCGGTCGGTCTTTTTAGATGAAGAAAGCTTTAACTTGAGATGAATTCTCATATGATAAATTTTCTTGATGATGATTTGCGGTTGTGGTTAAATTCATAATTCCACCTTCTAGATAGTCACATCATACTTATTCTCGTATGCAAGTGCTCCTTACATTTGAATTACAAGGATTTTCTTGATTCTCGCGGTAGGGAGACCGCACATCTGATTTTAAGCATAAACAAACGCCCCCTCATACATAAGTTATGTGTTCCCATGGTTCATGCTTGCGGTGTTTTGGATAAGGGTCAAGGGATACTTGAGACCAGGGGAAAGGCCACTCGACTCCACGACTTCAAACGACTCGAGGTCCTGGTCATCTGGTAACTCCCAGTCAAAATGATACAACAAATTTGCTAGTGCAATCTCCGCGAGGCGTGTCCCAAAGCCAATGCCAGGGCATCCTCTCCTCCCAGCACCGAACGGTATGAATCGGAAGTCTTTACCACTGTAATCAAAGTTTGTACTATGCACAAACCTCTCTGGCATGAATGCATCTGCATCCTCCCATGACTCTTCGTCTCTGCCAATCGCTCACGCGTTGATGAGGACCCGGGTCTTGGCTGGGATATCGTAGCCATGCAGCTTGGTGTCCTGGACTGCCTCGCGGGGGACAAGCATTGGCACTGGTGCATGCAATCGTAGAGCTTCTTTGATGGCAGCCTGTGGTCGTGTCATTGTACTCAGTAGCTCCTCTGTGACTCGTCTATGTTCCCCTGCAACTTGTCGCACCTCGGTTTGTGTTTTCTCCATTTCCTTTGGGTTCTTCACTAGCTCGGCCATTGTCCACTCCATAGTTTTGGCAATTGTATCAGTGCCTGCTATAAAGAGGTCCTGCATAAGAAATTCGCATCAATGTGTTAGCGACGAATACTAGCGTGCTTACTACTCAATGTGTCGTTAATTCAGTGAAGTTTATTGGAAGTCAGGGATCCACAATTTTAGTCGTGTTGACATTATGAAGGTTAAATACATGTAATTTTCAAGTTTTAATATCCACAATGGTGAATAAATTAGACCCTACCCCCTCCGTCGCAAGATAAATCAACTCCAAGAATCATCCTAAGTCAAACTATATTGAGCCTGACCAACTTAATAGTAAAAAATGACAACTCCTAGAATCACCATGTAGTATGACATACTCCCTCTGTCCTAGTTTAAATGCACGTCTAGGTTTTAAACAACAAACTTAGCATCCATATAAAATGACATTGCTACCCCTATGACACATTCATCTGACACTCCACTCGCCAAGACTAGCAGGTACAATAAGGGATAGAAGCCTCGGTGGGGAACAGATGAACGAGTGGAAGAGAGCAATCGAGGGCCCCTAGTGGGTTTTCTTTTCTTTTTTTAATAATATATTGTCGTTGGACTCGTCCATGGAAAGAGAAAATAAAAATTAGTGTTGCACTTCTCTGTTGTTGGTTCCGGCTAGTGCTGCACGCCTTTACATGTTCAGGCCTATATGTATGGATTATTGCGGGACAAATTTTGAACCACAAAGGTGCATTTAAACCAAGATGGAGGGAGTATTTTCTTGGAGTTCAACTTCAACAAGCAGACTCCATTCGTTAAAAAAAAAGTAGACTCCAAACTAAGATCCTAAGTTCGTGTCAGAGCAAATGTAATTTTTTTGACCTATTTAATTGAGTAGAAATTATGTGTTCTTTGACAAAAAAGATATTATATTCCTATTTGTAGGTTATTTACAAGGACACATACTGGACTCTCAAGTAGACTCCAAACTAACATCCTAAGTTCGTGTCGGAGGCTCGGAGCAAGTGTAATTTTTTGACCTATTTAATTGAGTAGTAAGTAGAAATTATGTATTCTTTGATAAAAAAAAGATATTATATCCCTATTTGTAGGCTATTTACAAGGACACATACTGGACTCTCTTCTGTAAGATTGTACCATCCAAAAGAAAAACGACAAACTAAGGTAGCCATATATATAATGAAAAACGACAAACTGAGGTAGCCATATCGTGTTGTACCATTATATGAAAAAGAAAACAACAAACTGAGGTAGCCATCTCGTGTTGCTAGACACGATGGTATTGAAGATCTACGCTAGGCATGGATGGTTGTCGTATATAAACTTATTATACTGATTAGCTTGACGTCGCGTTTTTTAGTTTTGCTTTTTCAGAGCTTACCTTTTACGTTTAGAGGCAGGAACTATAATAATAACATTGATTCTACTCCCTGTTCATTTTTTCCGTGCTATAAGTTTAACTGGATTGGTAGAAAATACGTGTAATATTATCTTCTAATCTAATAAATTTATTATAAAAATAGACTCAACGATCTATCAAATGATATTAATTTTTTATATTTAAAATTGATTAAAGTTATTTATAGGGAAACGAAAATGACAGTTATTTATGGACGGAAGGAGTATGCACTATTTCGTAGATAGTACACAGGAATAAATTCCCTTTTTCCAAAAAGGAAAAAAAAACTATAGAGGATAGTCAAGATCAATAAAATGTGTACGACAGTGAAAGGAGATTTGGCTTACAACGATGAGTCCCTTGACATCAGTCCTGTCAAGATTTAAGCCCGCGCCGCCTTGCTCCACGGCCGAGAGCAAGTCGTCGAGGAGGTCATCGGCATCATCCCCGCGCCCGCTGCTCTTCTCGTGCTCCTGCAACGCTGCCTCAAGAACGGCGTCAAGCTTCCTCGCCGTCCTCTTTGTCCTTGCGTCGAGCCCCGTCGCCCAGTCCACCCAGCGGAGGCACGGGAACACGTCGCTCACCGCGATTGTCTCCAGCAGTTGGCTGGTCTCCATCATCATCTCGCGGACCGCTCCGGGCTCCATTCCTCGGAGCTTGCTCCCGAACGCTGCCTTGGAGATGACAGTGTAGGTTAAGCTGATGAACAACTCACTCACATTGATCCCTCGTCGGCGCTTTCCACCGCCGTCGCCGTCCACATGGGCGCTAGCGGCAGCGCGGATCCGGTCCACGAAGGACGCGACCGCCTCTTCCCGGAGCGCGCGGAAGGAGTTGACTCGCTTCGCGCTAAGGAGGTACACGACGGCGATGCGGCGCAGCTGGCGCCACCGCTCGCCGTAGGCGCTGAAGGCAACGTCCCGGCAGCCGTAAAGGAGGCCACGCGCCGTGTGCTGCTGCGGACGGCCGCAGAAGACGTGGTCTTGGCCCTTGAGCACCTCCTCGGCCATGGAGGCTGAGGAGACCACGAGAGTGGGCACGGAACCAAGGTAGAGGAGGAAAAGCGGGCCGTGGCGCCGAGCCAGCTCCAGCAGTGTCCGGTGGTGGTGGCTCCGGCCGAGCTGGTGAAGATTGCCGATGATGGGCAGCGCCGGAGGGGAAGGCGGCAGTACTCGGCTGCCATCTTTGCGGCCTGACCTGAAGCTTCTTACGAGGACGAAGCAGGAAACCGCGAGGACGACGACAGAGAGAAGCAGGTTCGAGTAGTCGATCTGAACGGGAGCCATCAGGCATCAGCCACGAGCATATAGCGATGCTTAGTGGCGGATCGGAGCTCAGGAGTCAGGAGTGAATTCAGCAGTTGGCCAATGTATAGATCACGTAGAAATTAGATTATGCTAGCTTTAAGGACGCTTGCATGCAGTTTGTGCCACATGACACAAGAGGACACATGAAAAAAAAGGGATGGTCGTTGTATGTAGACTCAAGAGATAAGACATGTGTGAATGATAGTACAACAACCTTCTCTATCAATGAAATATGCATAATCTCGTGCCCCTCCGTTCCAAAGAAAAGAAGAAGAAGAAGAGTTGATAGTACAACACTAGAAGCGAAGCGCACCGCGACAACCGCATTGCAATAATGTTCGAGAAATGAGATCCATATATAAGATTCTAAGTTCCAAACTAAGAGGAAACGATAGCCAAAATACAACAAACGAGTCGTTTTCAGATCAGAACCTTCATGCAGCAACGAGACTAGAGATGCGGATTTGGATCGTGTCGTGCCAGCATGGCACATATCTCTCGTGCTTTGTGCTATTTTGGATTGTAATCTCTAGACATGCAAGGCACGTCGGGTCGTGCCGATATGGCATAAGATAAGTTATTGTTTCGGTCTATGTCATGTCTTTGTGTTGTTTCGAACCAAGCACGGTCCTTAAAATGTTGTTGCTAGTTTTTTTCCGCTTGTGGACACAAAAAATATTCTTTATGCGCCATTTTCTTATAAAGTTTCAATAATTTTCATAATCCATTCAAAAGTTAGATGAGATGTACTCAATCCATCCCAAATTATAAGACGTTTGACTTTTTTGACACCAAATTTGACCACTCGTCTTATTTAAAAAATTGTGTAAAATATCACTTCTTTCGTCGTGGTTTGGTTTATTAATAAAAATTCTTCAAGAATGACTTAAATTTGACTATATTTGCACAAATTTTTTGAATAAGACGAGTGATCAAACTTGGGGCCAAAAAAGTCAAATGTCTTACAATTTGGGATGGAGGGAGTAGCATAGTAAATACTAGGAAACTACATTGTAGTGTTGTAGATGTGATTACATGCAATTTTCGTGTTGTACTAATCAGCCCAAAATGCGGTCCTGACCGTGTAACTTATTATGCGTGATCCTAATAAGCACGATACAAACCTCATGTTTATGCCATGCTGGCACGACCTAAAAGATTTCATGTCGTGTGGTGCTTTGGACCAAGTCAAAAAGACCATGTTACGCCTACGCTCAAATGTCATGGCCCAAAACCCATCTCAGTGATATTGCCAGCTCCACCTCAGCGGACCGCTTGCTCCCGCCGGCCCATCACACACACTGCCAACCCCCGATTTTTAGTGAACAAGTCTTTTCTTCGTTTCCTTTGAATTAGACTTTAGAAATTAATCTTCCTTTCTACGTACCCAGGTGGAATTTAATTTTCTTCTACCAACCCTCCATGTGGGCTTGTTTCTTTAAATGTTGGCATGTTTCTTTTCCAATGTTAGCCCATGAGTCCTAATAAACCCTTTTTTGTTTTTCTTTTATTTTTACTTATTAAACTGTATTAATTAAATTGAATTTAAATTTTGAAAATTCAGAATTAGTCCCCCTAAATTCGAAACTCACATCCACATTTTTGTGACATATATGCAGGTCTTTTAGATGAATAAAGCTTTAACTGGAGATGAATTCTAATAAGATAAATTTTCTTCTTGATGCTTTGTGGTTGTGGTTTAATTCCTAATTCCACCTTTTAGATCGATGCATCATGCTATTTGTGTATGCAAGTGCTCCCTCCATTCGAAATTACAAGGTTTATTTCATTTTGTTAGAAAAATCATGTGGCCAATAGTTACTCTATTAATATACTCCCTCCTCCCAAAAAGAGTGTCACTATGGGCTTCGTGATGGTCAATTTTTTAAGTTTGACTAGATTTATAAAAATATTAGCAACAATTATCTCCAAATAATTTTATTAAAAAAATATATTCAACGATTTATCTAATGATACTAATTATGCATCATAAATATTAATATTTTCTTAAATATATTTGGTCAAAGTTGAAAATATTTAACTTCTCGGGAAGTAAGAACAGAGGGAGTAATTTTTTAACACAATAACGATAAAATATTAGATAATTTTTATCACATAGGTCAAAGTCTTATTCTTTTTTTTAGAATGGTCAAAGTCTTATTCTAATGAACGGTGATACACACCTTGTGAAAAAAGGACTATATATTTTTTAGGCAAACAGGAGGGCTAAAACACCCTAGCTAAAAATTTACTAAAAAAGAAAACAAACAAACAATACAAAACAAATCATGATAATTTATGGTTATGGTTCAATTCAGAGCGCCGCAGTCGGCGCCGTGAATCGTGGCGTCGACCTCTGGCCACGTCACCAGCCGCGTCAACCATGACCTCCTACCTCGGCCTCGGCGCCATAGGTCACGGCGCCAAGCTGAGGGCCTAAAGATGGGTTTTTGACGCCCATGGGTATAAATGTGAAATTTTGATGAAAAGGGGCTAAATTAAAAAAAAAAATTGGACCCTCGTGCCTGCCCTGTGTAGCTCCTTGAGCAGCCACTGTGAAATCATCCGCCATCCTTGGCCAGCTCCACGCTATAAAAACACCAGGGCTAGATCTAGGTCCAGCTCCACCATTGTCGTCACCGCCTAAGGCTCATCCACACCAAAACTGAGCTCACCCGACCATGTGTGGACAGAGGAGGAGTTGAGGATCCAACAGGTGACATGAGGAGTCAAGGTGACTAGAAGAGTCGGGTGATAGTGATGAGATTATGTGACTTGCACACTAGCCTTTGGTTGGTAGAAGCCTTGCGAATCCAACACTATGACAGGAAGAGACTTACACTGATTAGGAATTCAGGACGGTACTTCGGTGGAGCTCTCACGTGTAGTATGGGTTGCATTTTGGCAACCAATACTATGGTATACATCAATGCGTCTCTGCGAGTTTTTCCTCTTTAACCTTAGCTATCTGCTTACCATGTCTGTTGCTTACTATTGTGCTTTACTTGTGTGACATTTACTTTCCTAGATTAGCATTAGGCTAATTGATAGAATTGGATCTAGGTTGTAAAACTCTTTGAGTTAAGAGTAAGGTAGAGCACACTAAAAAACCTTAAGTGCACATCATGCAAGAAGAATTTATGGTTTTTCTTGTGGTAGTTTGAATTAAGCACTATGTTTTTAAGTTTGAATTAGACACCCAATTCAACCCCCTATTGGGTGCCAATAGAACCTTCTCAGTGGGGACATGTGCAGCATGGGTCCCACATCTTGCCGGGTGGGGACGAAGGTTACAAGAGTGAAGGCGTGATTCCTCATAAGTGGGGTCTGAGTCACTGAATAAAGGCAATGAGTGTTGTCGACGATTCTCTTAGACTTTTTTTAGGGTAGAGATAGTAGACACTAGATCTAGTCCGGAAAGATAGGGTAGGACCACAACAAAGCGTGCCCTACCTCTACCCTGTCAATACCATATACAATGGTTGCAATTTGTACTGGGAGAAAAAAGAGAACTTCCTCCGTCTCAAAAAGAAAATAATATAATTAATTATAATTCTAAATAGATAGAATATAAAATCATAATTTGACCTAAGACAAATTATTTTAAGTTCTGACTAAGTTTATAAAAAATAATATCACCATTTATAAATTTTAAATAGATATACTATGCAAATATAAAATTAATATATTTTCTTGTAAAAGTTGGTAAAACTAAAGATGGTATGACTTAGCATCTATAATTTGTTGTTATTATTTTTTTTGGAAAAAAGGAACAACTTTTATTAGGTATTACGTACATCTCTTTGCACAGTGGGAGACAACTGATTGGTAGGTGATTTCTAATTTTATCTGTCGTCGTTTTCTATCTAGCACTACTAGATGTACGTATCATTTTCGCACCCAACCCCACATTGCGCTCGATACTTCCTCCAGTTCTATAAAGCAAGTCGTTTTGGACATCGACATGGTCTTTAAGAAACGACTTTGACTGCAACTTTTTACTATAAAATATTTATAAAATATAGTCAATATATACTTTTATGAAACTGCATTTCGAGATGAATCTACTTACATCACTTTCATATTTTTAAACTCAACCCAAAAAAAGTTATGATAGTTGTATCAAAATTGTGCAGGATGAGTGGAGCACTCTCCTCGGTTGTATAGTTTTTCTGGCCGACTAGCCTAGTTTCCATTCAAATTAAAAAAACTAGGTTGACACTTGTGGCAGAACCGCTTAATCTAATGCCTCCCAGGAGTACTTGTCTTCCATTAGACACTAAGTACTCAAGGGATGACACTAAATTACGCAGTTCTGTCGAGCACACTCTAAGGGAGAACCTAAAAATCCATTTTTTTCATCAGGATCACAAATGAGAGAATAAAGCTTACAATATTCTTAAGTCATTTCTTACATCACTTTCCATGCAACATCAGAGTATAATATTTATTGTTTATAAGAGCGAAATATAACCAAGTTATCAGAGTTTCAGTGGAAACAAAATCATTTAATGACCAGTTAAACATTAACATGATGATCCGTTATATACATCATAACATGTTATAAGTTTTTCCATTGTAAAACATTTTGGGGTGAAATTTTCAAATAAACTCTATGTCCGCAACGTTAAGGAAATTCTCGCTGAGTCCACCAGGAGGTTTCCACACAGAAGTGTTAGCTCCACATGTTCATGTTACCTACAACAGGTAGAACAAACCCTGAGTACTCAATTGTACTCCGCAAGACTTACCCGTCAGGAGGAAAGAAAAGACTACAAGGATATGCAAGGCTATCTGGCTTGTGGGTTATTACATCTGCAGGAAGCATTACTAAACGTACGTCCTTATATTCAATTTCATTAGCAGTCATCGTTAGTTCATTAACTAACCATTCTATGTAAGCACCTATACTACTTTCAAGCAGGTGGTAAGCAATTAGAATCATTTTACCTTCTTTCATATTTCAGTTCTTACTTGGG